TTAGGAAGCTGATGAGCATGTCTTCCTATTTGGCATCCAGGTTGGCCCTAATCTGAGCGGTCTTGCTCCGGTCGCCTAGGACGAGGACCACCTCCTTTACTTCCTTGGACTTGGTTCCTACTCGGGGGGGGGCTCCATGGTGGGGATCTCCTGCTCCTCCTGTGGGACCTGCTGTGAAGCGGCGAGGCAATCCTGCATACGGATGGAGATGTCAGCGGCCTCGGCAAGTGCGAAGCTGTCCCTCTCGCAGTCGTAGGCGGTGTTGAGGTTGGTGTGTAGGGTAAGAATTCCTTGCTCCATCGGCATCTTCAAGACTAGGTACACATAATGTGGTACATCCATGAATTTGGCGATAGCTGGTCGGCCTAGGATGGCATGATACGCCGTGTCAAAGTCTGCTACTAGGAAGTTGACGTGGTCGATATAGAAGTGGTCAACGGTGCTGAACTGTACCAGCAAGGTGATCTGCCCTAGAGGTTGGGATGCCTTCCTAGGAACAATTCCCCAAAACAGAGAGTCCGTGGGGTGAGGTCCTCCTAGGTGAGCCCCAACTCAGTTAGGGATCCGACAAAGAGGATGTTGAGGGCGCTTCCTTCATCAATGAGGACCTTCTTGAAGCATATGCTCTTGATGATGGGATCCAGGACGAGCAGAAAATCCCCTAGGTACGACCAGTCCAAGTACTTGGGGTTCTTGATGGTGTCGTCATAGGTGGTGACCGACATGATCTGCCAGGCGGTAAGCTTCTGCTCCCGCTTGGTCTCAGAGGCTACCCTCCCGCCAAAGATCAAGGCGACGATCTTGTTGGGATCCTGGTAGGCAGGGCGAGCATCCTTGCCACGATCCTCCTCCCAGCCATCGTCGGTTTCGTCGTCCTTGCGCCGCGGCCTCTTCCTGTCTTCTTCGTGGAATGCTTTGTTTAGGCCTTTGCACTCGCCCATGGTATGCTTGCTACCTTTACGAATGGGGCAGGGGCCATCCATGAGCTTCGCATAGTCGGCGTCGTAGCTATGCTTAGCACGAGCATTGACGGTGTTGACAAAACTATCTGGCCTGCGTCGGTGGGACTGCTTGCCTCTCGAGCCTTCTGGCCTATCATCACGCCAGTGCTCGTGAGCATCGTAGCGATGGTCACGCTCATCGTGGCAGTGTTTGCGGTCGTTGTGGCGCCTTTCCTCATGACGGTCATCATTACGATGCTGCTGCCGATCGGGGCAGGAGGCCCAATCAGCTTCTTCGGTGTCGGCATAGGCATTCGCCGTTTGCTAGAGCTCGCTGATGGTTGCTGGCCTCTTATGATATAACTTTCTGCAGAGCTGTTCATGGTAGAGGAGCCCTTTGGTGAACGTAGAGATAGCCTCGCTGTCGCTGATGTTGGGGATGGAGTTCCTTATCTCCGTGAAGCATTTGATGAAGCTGCGCAGGGGTTCCCCGGAGGTCTAATGAAGCTTCTCTAGGTCGTATTTGGTGCCTGGTTGCTGGCATGTAGCCATGTAGTTCATGACAAAAACCCTCTTGAGATCATCCCAAGATTCAATGGAGTCTGCCCTTAGGCTAAGGAGCTAGTTGTTCGCTGATTGATTGGGCATGACGGGCAAATAGTTTGCAATCACGTCTTGCTTCCGCTGGCTAGGCGCATGGTGATATCGTACAGCATTAGCCACTGCTCGGGATTGGCCTTGCCATCGTACGTGTCCACCCCAAAGATCTTGAAGCTCGTCGGCCATGGGACGACACGTAGTTTGTGAAGGGGAGAAGTCCCAAAGTGTTGGCGACGGGTGGCGCTCAGGCCATAATAGGTGCGCCATGCTCGGCATCATACTGCTGCCAGTGCTAGATTTCCACATCGTGGCGTGTAGACCGACTATTCTCGATGCGGTCGTGGACATCGAGGTTGGCATTGATGTGCTCACGAACATCGTACGGCAGGGGTTGATTAACCTTCTAGTTGCCGTTGTGGTGGCCACCTCGGTCGCCTGGTGGGCAAGGGGGCATCCCTCTTGGTCCGGGTACCTTTCGTAGTTGCCTCTAGATCCCCTATAGAGATAGGGGCCACCCGCTTGATAGCATGGGTGTTCGAAGCCCTAGCGCTGACTTCCCCTATCATGGCGAGAGCCATGGGGGTGGCGGCTACGTGCAGATGCAATCGAGTAAGATGGAACAAGGTTCTAGATCTTGTTGACTTGGACTTGAGCCACCTTAAGATGCGCGGTAATCTTTTCTAATTCTGGAGTCGACGGGAGTCTAGCCAGCTCACTAAAAGCAACAGCGAGGTTGGCGCTTGGCGTCTGTTGCACTGGTTGGTTGCCGACCATGTCGAACTTCTCATCTAGATTACGATGGGCGTGGTGTGGGGCGTTTGGATCCCCATCAGCCGTGTGAGCGGCTTCTTTGTCCCGATGACGTTAGCGGTCGATGTTCTTTGTGAGGTGAGCATTGCGCTCGTCGGTGGTTTCACCATCCTTGGTGACGCTGTCATGGCCGATATGGAAGAGTTCGCCCTTGAACCCAGGGGGAAGGGGGGAAACTGGAGGTGGTCTTAGTTGAACCCTCGGAATATGCGTCGGGGCTCTCCTCCAAGATGGTGTGGAGGGAGTCATCTAGAATATGGCAGATAACCACCATGTTCACCATGGGCGCAGGCTGATCGGCCTTAGGCAGATCAATCACGTAGAGGTCGTCGATGTGGCCGCGCTGAGCGTGGTCGATGAAAAGGTGGTGGACGGCGTTTTGATACGCAGATCCCGTCCCACCATCTTGAAAGGATAGGGCCTCGGCACGTTCTCCATCGGGGCTTCATAATGGGCCAAGCGCAGGCCGATAGTCGGAACTGGTCGGTGCCGCACCGTACGCCCTTCTAGAGTGGCAGTGATCACCAGATCTAAATCTTGCTGCATCAGACGATGCGGCCGAGCAGGTCGCTCGGTTGCAGCGGCTTGGCGACCTCGGAGTGCAGGAACATCGTCGCTTGTAGTAGAACGATCTAAGACTAAGTCCACGAGAAGCTGACATTCAGCCAAGCGATCTGTGACCCGATCAATGGATGCGATCAGATCATCTTGGTGGATGGATCTCCTAACCCAGTGACAGGGCGCCGAGATCGGAGATGTTGTTGAAGATGTTGGCACGATCGGCGTAGGGTGATTCTGTACCACCTCCATGATCTCCTCGATGCCGTTAGCGCCGATCACCTAGGTCATAGATCCAATCGTGAACGACTGGCCTGGTTCAGGAAGGACCATTGAGCTCGAGAAGTGGACCATCTGGCTCGCCATGGAATCAGCACGCACACCCCCTACTTGGCGTGCCACTGTCGATGGAATACGATCGTCTGTCTACCGAGGGGTATGCCACGATAGTAAATGAATCGGTAGAGGTGCGCAAGATACGAACTAGATGGTGACACAGGCGCAGACACAACGATTTAGATGGGTTCAGGCCGTTAACTCGACGTAATACCCTACGTCCCGTGTCTTTAGTGGATTGTATATTGTGATGAGGTGGAATCTAGGGGGTCCCACCCACCTTATATAGCATAGGGGGTAGGGTAACAGGTTGGTTAGATCTATTCCTGATCGGTTATAAGATATCTATTTACAAGGAATACAGCATCTTAGCATATCCGATTGGGTCATCCTTCGTCGTCAAGGATATTCACGTAGCCTTGCAACGCACGCCGACCTGTGTCGTGCACTGCATGACGTGATATGTTGGGCTGGGCCTCCTCTGGCGGCACGGCCCATGTACAGCCCTATGGGTATCCGGGATCATACCCCCATAGTGACTGTCATACTTGAACTTTTATAAATTAGACGGTTCGTTACACTTGCTTTCCAAAGTGTACACAAGATATAATGAAATTATATAACTGTGGAGAGATATAAAGAGGGATTTTTAGTAGAGTGACTCTAATGAAGGTTTAGAGAGTGGGTTTAAGAAAATTGTTGAAGATACTCTTTGTTTTATCAAGTACAACTTGAGGCATACAACCCACACACTTATTTGCGCGTCCATACACTATGTAAAAAAGCACATTACAGACACACGTTGGGGAACATTACAGACGCGTTTCGGCGCATCTGCCATAACACGTCTGTAATAAGGTCTTATTACAGACGCGTCAAAAGCGTGTCTATAATAAACTCATACTACTAATACACAAAACACGCGTCTGTGAGAAGAGTACACGCGTCTGTGATAACTCTTCTCACAGACGCATGTAGTCAAAGCGTGTTTGTGATAACCCCTTCTCACAGACGCACATAGCCAACACGTGTATGTGATAACGATTTACAAAAACAAAAAAAAATGAAAAATCCCCAATGCCAGGGTCTTATATACATGTCACATGCTAATTATATATAGTAGTCACTTGCTAATTAGAAATTTCATATTACATGTACCACCAACATATTGCAAGTAAACCTACTTGCTACTCGAACTAAGATAAGAAGCTCATGTAACTAATAATCTTCTTGAAGCAAATATTCAAATCATTGGATTCTGTTATTTGCCAACCTACATACAGGTATTTGGGAACATACAGGTATGAAAAGAAGTAACAGAAGTACAGGTATCATAAGGTCATACAGAATAATTGGGCTTTCCAAGCAAGTACCATGCACATCCCTGTTTTCCAAGCAAGTAACAAGCTAACGTCATGTTCGTTTGTGCTTGTTTGGCTAATAAGCCATGGCTGAAAGTACTGTTGGCTGATTTGGTGTGAGAGAAAAATACTGTTCGTTTGCTGAAAAAGTATGGCTTATAAGCCAAACAAGTCCAAGCGAACAGGGCGTTACGCATTCTCATGTACTTACATAATTACATTACTCCATCCTAGTAGGAGAGCAGTTGTTAAATCTCCGGTTCCCTGCATATCATTATGGAGCCAGGTGAAAATTTAATTTATATACAAGTGATTGAATTATATAAACTAGTAATGCTATAAACACCAATGAAGAATATGATAAGGAGCAGGTTGCCTTCAATAAGTGCACTAGTTATAAGCACCTGAAAAATCATAGTAACCAAACACATGCATACAACTAATAAGTCTCTAGAAATAGCATGCATACAACTAATAAGCATAGTTACATTCTGAAAAATCACATTCAGAAATACCAAATTTGAAATGAGATGCCTTGTCCTATTGTATTTCATCCTGAAGCACAAGAACAAAGGGGAAATAAACTGATAAGTCCAAGTTCTGTTCTCAGTAAAAGGAAGTAAGGCTCATAACTGCTTGTAGCCCGTTCTGCAGGAGATATAGTTTATAAATAGTGTTCTATAAAATCAATTAACAGTTTAGTCTACAGAAGGGTCAGTAAGTCTCTAGAACTGGGTCGCAAGCTGCATATATAAGTTAACAAGAGAGACATCATTTTGGTTCGAAAAATAACCAAATTATGATTCAGAGGTCTGCTGAGCTAAAATACATAACAGTGCAGTAAAAATGAGCACTCGTCTTTATTTAAACTGGAGGTCAAATGCAGGACTTACTTCATGAAATTCCCAGTTATGCGTATGAGAAACTGGAACAGGGAACTAACATTAGAACAGGGAACTAATGTAGATCAGAAAAATCATAAAAACACAGATTTTCAGAAAGCTAGCTCCAACTCAATATCAACATGTGTATGAGACACTGGAATACTTAGCTAAGAGTTACTGATCTAAATTCATTTAGAGGCAACACATGTAATAGGCATAAGAATATAGTCCTCAAATGGCCAATAAGAGGGGCTGGTACAAGCATACCTTTCCCAGGCCACTTTTCTTGAGCTGCTCTCTTCGGTCATATTGTTGCAAGGAAACTGCAAGAGGCATGAAACTTTCATTAGCAACCAAATTCCAAGCCATCCAAAAATAGAGCACAAAGACTAACAAGAACATATTACTGTTAGCTATAAACAAATGACAATATCACATAGCCAATGCAGCGAAAATGGCTATGTGTGGAGAAGAATACTAACCAATGCAGCGACAAGCCAGACACACCTCCTTTGTAGACCCCTTTTTAATTGAATTGGTGAACTGGCTCAATAGTGTGACATATCTTTAAAGAGGAAAAGAACCCATCAGTTCAAATTAACACAAAGAAGGATCCCATTTCCCAAGCTGTGCAGTACACTAATACTGAGACAGTAGATGATTCAAAAAAAATACTGAGACCGTCGAACACAAAGGGATATACCAGAGAGACATGACCTGCTGCAGCTTAGCTTCTCTCAGCATATACATTCTCTTCTTTGCACTCACAGAAGATAACTACAACACATAGATGAAAATTTTTGAACCTGGAGAGCACAGAATGACCTAACTGGCTGCAGCATCATCGATTCAGATTTCAGAAACTGTTGCATCTATATCTTCAGAGCAGCTCCATTTGATGAGGAACTTGCATATTCTTCCATCTGAACTTACTAGCACAGTATGAGCCGTAAGGTTAGTCCCATGAGAAGAACTGCTGCAAAAAAAATATGTAAAGGATAATCTAGCAGAGGCCAAAGACATTGGAAAGGATAATTTGGATCATCAGTTTCCATTGCAGATACATGTATCAAGATACAAAGCTAATGAGAGATCACTAAACCATAGACCCAATTGACATGGGTGATAAAACAAAAATCAAAGTTAGTAGGCATAATACTGTAAACACTTGTGATTAGATCAGATCCGAATACAAATAGCTAAATAGCTCAAGTTAGAGCTCCGGTGCTCAATTTTGCACAGCAGGAAGGGAAGAGAAGGAGCGGGCATACCTGGTGTGGTGGGTTCCCGTCACCGGCGACGAGCCCGAAGAAGACATGGACAGCTTGGCGTAGGGCGGCGGCGGTGACGACGCTGAGGCCGACATGGTGTCCTTCCACCGGCATGGCCTCCCTCAAACCCTAGCTTTAGGAGGCGCTCGACCCCCGGCCCATTCGAGGGGAGAGGGTGCTCGCCGCTGCTGCTGGGCCCCACCCCACCCTCCTCTAGCTCCAGTATCCGCACAGGTCCTCCACCACCCGCTTGCCCTTTCTAGATCTAGATCCGAGAGGCAGAAGGAGAGGAGGGGATCTCCACTCTGCGGAGAAGAATGTGGTGGAGGAGAGGTGGCGGCGGAGGAGAAGAGATGAGGGGAATGTCGGAGCGGTGGGGGAGGAGGAGGAGGAACAAGGAGCGGTGACGGCGGCGATGTCTCCGTCTTGGGGAGAGAGACGAAGAGAGAGAGAGAAGGGGATGGGATGGGGGCGTGAGGGCCTCGGCCTCTCGGGGCGGACGGGTGAGGGTGGAGTCAGCCGGAATCGATAATTTTTCGGGTCCGTGGAACCAGCCAAGTGACGCGCATTTAGCTAGCCCGTCCGTGAGCCATTGTTCTTGTTACAGACGTATCCAAAACACGAACTACAGACACGTGTTAACTATCCGCGTCTGTGATGTGTTGTCTAACTATAGACGTGTCCTGTAAACACGCGTCTGTAGTAATATTACATACGCTTGTTACCAAAACGCGTCTTTAATAAACGCTTATTATAGACGCGTGTTGACCTCACCGGACCAACCGACCCTGGTTGGTGACTTATTACAGACGCGCGCGTCTGTAAACTCATATTACAGACGCGCGTTTGTGCTGGTGTCTATAGGTGACGTGGGGGATATATATCTTTTTTACATAGTGATACACGCTCAAAGAAGATACTGATAGACTCACCGAACACGCAGCGTGTGTACCCTTTTTCTCAAAAGATTTCATAAAAAAGATGCAACACTAGTGTTTGAACCTTAGGCCCCGTTCGCTTCGTAAAAAAACAAGCTGAAACATTGTGCCGACTGATTTATTGTGAGAGAAAAATACTGTTCCAGATAAAAAAAACAAGCTAAAAAGTACGAATTATAAGAAAAGCAAACAGGGCCTCAGTGGTTAGTATCCTAGACATGCCTACCGTTGTACCATTGGCCCCTTCTCTACTAATGATGCTCTTCAGTGCACGTCAATTGTCAAATTGTATAGATCCATGGTAGTTGTCCAATACGAAGACAGGGAAAGGGTCAAACGGTCAAGTATTTGGGCCGTCCACATGTGTTTGCTATCACATGGCGCCGCTACCGTGCGAGTCCAACCGACACGACTAGTGTAGACTAGGCAAGTCAAACCAACACCTTTCTTTCTTCGTTCCACACACACCTAACCTAACTTATGGCGTTTAGCATATCGGACAAAGCGAATGGAAGATGTGCCTGCATGTCAGTATGTCCCAAGCCACTAGTACTAATATAATCACTGATTAGCCAACGAGGGCACGAGGCAACGGGGCATGGAATGAGAAACGGTGAGGAGACACGCGCTTCACTTCGTAGTAAGCAGAGAAGATGGCCGTCGTGGGAGGATGGAGTTGTTGAAAACAGAGTAGCAGTAGCAACTAGCAAGACTTGTTTGATCTACTATAAACAAACGTTGGGTATCGGGTCTGAGGAACGGTAATTAATTTGATAATGAGCAAATAAACTAGGTGAGCGAGCACGCAGGACGGCAGGCGCAGGGTGCTGGATGTCGTCTCCATTTTGTTTATACAGTGAGCAACACTACAAGCGCGTGCCGTTGCAAGCACTGGCATGCAGATACCTACTCCTACAGTCCTACTAGTATTAGCAGATTTCAGCTGACTTTGAGTTGACTCGTCCATCCACATTTTTGGGGCACCCGCCCGCGCGTGACACCGTGTCGTGCCCGTCCCGCCACCTGCAAATCGACGTGCTTCATGGACTGCAGAAGAGCAGAGTAGCGAGCTACCTGGCCCTCGGTCCGTCCACCGTCGCTCCCTTGCATTCGCCTCCGTCTGTGCTCTGAGCCGCCGTGGATTTAGTCATATTTTTCTTCGGCGCGCGGCTTCCTCGGGAGGCAAGGCACCCGGCACGAACCTCCTTCGTCGGCACCGGCAGCTTCAGCTTAGCGGCGCCCCTGTTTCAGTTACAGACATACAGCACGTAACGTAAGAGTCAACATGATGGAATTTAATTTGGAACCGCGCGCACGCATTCATGCATCCTCAACTGAAACTGAAAGCACCTACCTGTCGGCGTTGCAGGAGGATGACCTCTTGAGAAGAAGAGCATCATCGCCGCCGCGCTTCTTGCTGCTCTCAATGAGGCTGCCGCTGAAGTAGTCCCGCTCCACGACACCCGCTCCACCTGACACCGACACGCATTCAGCTGTTGCTGATGCGTACGCGTCCACCTCCTTGTCGGCCCGCCTGGTACTAGCACTTGCCGTCACCAGGTCGGAGCGGGAACGCGCGTGGCCCCGCTTCACGGCCGTCATGGACCCGCAGGAGAAGATCTGCATCAGCACCGCCGACGCCCGCATCCGCCCGCCGGCGATCACGCCAACTTCCCTGCTACAGCTCTCCAGGCCGTCTGGGCTGCTGGAGGACGGCGGCGGCGAGATCTCGTCGATGGCCAGCTCCATCGACGGGTCGGCGTCCCGGTCTGGCTCTGGCCCGCGGTGGTCGGTCTGCGTGGCCGCAGACTGTTGGGCCACCGGCAGCTTATTATTGCAGTCGCCCAGGTCGAAGGAGCTCCAGTTCTTGCGGTGGCTGCCGGCCCTCTTCTCCTGGCTGAAGGTGAAGGAGGAGGCGTCCTGGTGCGCCGGCGGTGGCTGAAGGAAGAGGAGGAGCGGGGAGCCCTTGAGGACGTACTCGTCGTTGCCGTGGGCGGGGTGGATGAGGTCGTCCTCGGTGAGGTCTTGCCACACGTACCCGTTCCTGTAGCTCCTCTTGGAGGACCAGGAGTACATGCCGGCCATGCCGTTGCCACGGAGCGCGTTGAGACGGGCCGTGAAATCTCGGAGGTAGAGGCCAGGAGCAGGGTGGGTGGAGCGGAGCAGCTCCATCTCCAAGAAGTGCGGGTGGTCGAGGTGGCCGTCGCGGTGGCAGAGGTAGTACACCACGGCCAACTTCCTTGCCGGCTTGGGCTCGGTCCAGACCACGGTGCGCTCGGGGCTGCCCCACCTTCCTCGTCTTTCGCCTCGTTGGAATGACGAAGAGGACGCCATTGCTCTAGGCTTGTAGTTAGGGAGTGGCAGATGTGACGGATGGAGCGTCTGTGTGTGCGTGTCTACTGCCACTGTCAAGAAGGAAGGAAGAAAATATACCAGACGCGACTCGTGAGGCCGGTGGTTGGAGAGTGTGGACTATGGAACAAGACCGGAAGGTGTTAGTGCGGCCTGTGCCCAAAGGACGAAGGAAGCGAGATCATGGTAGCCGGCGCGCAGCAGTGTTCAAACTTGAAACCGCGGAAGGACGAAGCACGCACGCACGAGGCAGGCAACTGATTTCTCTACTTTTTTATTATATATATAAAATTGTCCTTTTGAACAACTACTAGCAGGGGCGTGATCAGTTTTATTGGCTAAGAGCAGGCCCAACTAATAAGCTAGAATGATTTTTATAGGTATTATTAGTTAGCATACTAAAGTTCTGTTTGATTCATAGAGCAAATAGTTAGCTACCAATAATTACCTTCTTTCGATCTAAAAAGGTACAACTAGTAGTTTAGCTAATTATTAGTTACTACCAACTAACAACTATCTTACTAGTTGGATTAAACCAGCTAATAATTTGCTATCTAATTTTAGCTTTGAGCAATTAGCTAACTAATTATTAGTAACTAATAAATCCAAACAAAGTGTAACTCAGCAAAATGATGATTTGATATTTGAATTAAGACAGATAGAAAAAAAAATGGTTTCTTATACAAGAAACAAGATAGAAAAAGATATGGTAGATAAATGATAGGAGAGAAAAGATAGGTGATTGGACAAAATATTATTTCAAAAAATCATACATTCAAATATGATTCTAATGTTTAGTGTCTATATAACTTGGCAAGTATACAAAATATTTTATAGATTATGGGTTGGGATTACCCTAAGACTAAATGTGAAAACATCTTTAATTAACACTTCAAATTATACTCTCTGTATCTTCATTTGAATATCAATTACAAAACGTTCACTATACACATTACTCAATGCTCCCGCTGGCTAGCCAAATCTTACCCTCCATATTATGCCAGTCTATCTTGTATTGATATTCAAATTATTTGTGACAACTACACTACGCCTATTATTTACAACTGTTTCATTATTCGACCTCTCTAATTTGAACGGCTTAAATTGCAATGCATATTTTCAACAATTTCATTCTTCAATCTCCCTAATTTGAGGGGAGAACGGGAGAGGAGTAGAGCTTTGGGAACAAAGGGAAACAATCTTTCCATTCCCGGGAACATTGTACCTTCTTAGGCTCCGTTCTGTTAGTGCTTCCGACGCCCGGAACTATTCCAGCCGTGGAAAACTTATATAAATTAACATAACGTTCTGGCTGGGAATTATTCCTAGGGGTCAACCCCCCAGGAAGCGAACGGGGCTTAGGCATCGTTCGGTTCATACGGAATCTTGCCATGGAACTATTCCTGACAGGAATGCTAGTTTAATTTGTATGATCTTGGATGGGCTGGAACTGTTCCTGGGCAGGTATCCTCTAACCGAACGCGCCCTTAAGGATTTCACAGAAAAGCAAAAATATACTCCAACTTGTAGCTTTAGCTTCCTTCGTGGAAGCCCGAGATGGCTACACCATTAAACACAGCAGATGGGATGGATTACCAATAGCGCAAATTTTTTTAACAAGCTGAAGTAGCAGGGTTACTGTCCTTGTAGGCAACTTGTGTTAAATGCTTTGCCTCATCTGATTTTTCTGGCATTTCAGTTTCATGGATTCCAAACAGTCTTGCACATTATATTCCTGTATTTTTCTTTCCCTCTATTTTGCCACGATACCAATATCCCTTTGCTTTAGTTTCTTTTATGTATCCCTCTATTTTGTATTCCCTCGTTCCAAACAAGCCTTAGGGTTACAATCCCTATTTTCAACAATATGGAGTATAAGCATATATTGGTGTTCATTTAAGGGGTTCTCTCTTTTATTTTCTATTCAAAAATGAAGAAATGAATAATAATAATACAATAAAAAAGGTAAGAGAGCTAACCGTGTTAGGCCACTCAAGTCCATCAGGCCGAGCAGCCCAGCCGGCTAGTAGCTAGCCTTATCCTACCTGCTGGGAACACACGCGGGAGAGGCGGTCCTTCCCGACCAAGCTGCACGGAAGGCAGCAACGGACGGACGGCCTTGGTGGCGGCAGCGTTCAACGCTCGCACGCCATAGGTGGCACGCGGTCGTCTCAGCGAGGCCGTGACGCTCCTCCATGCTTTTTTCAAGGGTGTACCTCCTCCTAATTTTCCAAATCTGAAAGATCAATTCTTTCACCTTCTTCTCGAATCCACTCGATCTCGGCGATTTGCTCCATTGGAGGCCCTGTCACTTCACACTTGAGGTCCAATCAGTCGATTCGTGAAGCTCGTGATGCTGTGGGCATACCTCCTCGTGGTAGTGTGCCTAGTCGCCGGCTTCTGTCGTCGGCTATCACCTCTGGTGGCGGCCTGTCGCTGGGCGAGAGCCGTGCTATTCGTATGGTATGGCCTTGTGGGTAGCGTCTTGGTGTGCATGCCATGGTCGATGCGACTTGGGACTGCATTGTGTGCAGTCAGGTGGTGGTGTGGTGTTGTGCTGCTGGTTCTGACCGGCGGCGTGTTGCTGTTGTGTGTACGCCTGTGTGGTGTTGCACGGGCATGGTGGTGGTCTGGTTGCTGTTGACCTTGGCCTAGTGTTTGGGCTCCCGGCTTCACGGTGTACCTCTGCTCCTCGGGTTGTGGCTCCCTGCTGTGCAGTGTACATCTGCTCCTCGGGTTGGTGCCGTAGAGTCTCCTTCGGCTCTGACAACGCCTCCAGTATCTCGCTTGAGCTTGTTTTCCCCACACAGACAATCTATGTGCTCTGAGTTACCTATTGTCTTGCACCCTTGCTTGGTTTACAGTTCAGATATTTATTTTTATGCAATCTGCTAGTTCATGTAACTTGGGTGTGAGTGTACTGTTGCATAATTTATTGTTCGATGATACAACGTGACAGTCAGGTTTTAGAGTGTTGATCCAGAAATCATCCGGTCCGATCGACCGGACCAGAGACGCATGCCAAACAGTGCGCAGGAAGCGCAGGAATAGGTACGTAATGTTTCCTTTTCCTTTTCTTATTCTTTTCATATTAATTTGTCTTTCCTTTCTTTTTTCTTTTGTTTTCTTTTTATTGTTTTATTCCCTTGCTTCTATTTATTCTTCCTTTTTCTTTTCTTTTTAGTTTTCTATGTTTTCATTCTTATTTTATTTCCTTTCCTTTTCTTATTCTTTTCTTATTTATTTTTACCTTTACCTTTATTTTTCTTTTAATTTCTTTTTATTGTTTTTTTCTTGCTTCTATTTATTCTTTCTTTTTCTTTTCTTTTTAAGTTTTCTATGTTTTTCATTCTTATTTTATTTTCTCTTTTAAATTTTCTTTTTTCCATCCTTATTTAAGTTATTCATTTATTTTATTTGTTTTATGTATTTATCATTTATTAATCAGATTTTATGTGTATTTTCCTTCTTTGGTTTTACTCTAATTAATTGTTTTAATAATTTATTTTTTATTTTTTATTTCCTATATATATGTGATTTTCAGTAGTATACATTTAATGTTTTATGTTGTCTTGTGTCATGTTCACGTAGTATACATATATTGTTCTATGATGTTTTTGTGTTATTCACGTAGTAAACATGTGATGTTCGTGTAGTATACATGTGATGTTCTATGATGTTTTTTCGATGTTCACTTAGTATACATATGATGTAGTACGATGTATTTAGTGATGTTCACATAATATTTTTATAACATGTTCTATAATGTATTTAGTGATGTTCTATGGTGTAGTTAATCATTTCACTTAGTATACATGTGATGTTCTATAGTATATTTTTTTGACCGAAGTCAGCAGAGGAAACTCCAACCTATTTTTTATAACTTTTTATTCCAGACCTGTTTAATTTGCTCCCATGAGGAGTCGAACCTAGGCATGCTAGATTGCTACTCAGGTGCTCTAACCACTAGGCTAGAGGCCCTTTCGCTTCTATAGTATATTTTAAGATGTTTGAAAAGTATCCATTGATGTTTTTATAAAATTTTCTCTATTACGTGTTTTTATTTTTTCTTATGGTTTGCTCTAGATTTATTATTTTTTATTTATATTATGTATTTAATTATTTATTTTTATGTATATTATAATACCAATTTCATGAAGCAGAAACTATATTACTGTTCTTCTAAACCAAGAATATTTTTTTACAAAGACGGAACATTGTTCTTTGAACCTATAAAATCGTCTCTGCTCAATAAATAAAATATTTTATGTTCATAAGATAAATGTTCGTTAATAAAATTTTATTTAAATATATCTATGTGGGAACTTGTTTTGAAAGATTTATTATATGAAACCCGATAGTGTAATCGGAATTTAATTAGGATGTTTGGTTTAGAAGTTATGACTTTTTTTAGTTCGTTGAAAGTCATTGTGTGCATGCGTGAGAGCTGATGTGGGTGTGCTGCTACACCATCTCGGCGTGCGGTACCTACGAGCGTTGTTGGCCAATGCGGCGCGGGAAAGGTGCGAGCATGTTCATGAGCATGGAAGTTAATTATCAATGAATTGACGAGATTAATTGTCGGACGGTGCTTACCGTCCGAATGGGCGGACCTTATCACGCCCCGTGTTGATCCTTTTCAGGATTGTCTAATTATTTTCGTAGAAGCTAATCTCTACTGTTAAACCGCTTTACCTGTTGTCCACCTATTGATTCCTGTGAGCATATAACCTGTGTTCTTACTGTTTTGTACTGAACCTTAATAACTTGATTTTTTTGGTTATATTGCTATTTTTCTAGGCACTTAATTTTGGACTAGAACCTGAATTTTGGTAAGTAGGTGTTGGTATATATTAACGCACACAGAATAATCTACAAGCGCACGGATACCGATGTAGCACTTCACCGGAAAGTATTATAGAATATCAAACTCAAGAAAACATATGTGAGAATAACTAAGTCTAACTTAACCTAGAGTAGCA